TTTTTGTTTTAAGGATTACTATCAATTTCAACGTAGAACAAAGTAATAAAGTACTTTAGTAGTCCCATGCCTTATATCATAGCGCCTACCCTGTAGATGAAAGACTTTATCCTTAGAGGCGACTTCTAATTGAGTGAATTAATTCCTATTGTCTTACTAAAAAATAAATTGCGTATAGTGAGAAGAATAACTCTATCAGACTAGTCTCTATCATTAAGCGTGAAAAGTCAGCGCCCAAAGGTGCTTTTTGAAAGCCGGTCAAAGAATCGATTATATGCCTGGCCAGAAGACCGATGAGCCATACTAGTGAAGCAAAGAAGAGAAATTAAAGTAGCTCTTAGAAAGGTAACTGAATGCGATTCCAGTGTTAAAGTTAGAAGAGTAACTGCTCTCGTAGTCGTTTCTGTTATTCTCTATTTTGAAGCAAAGCATGCTGAAAGCAATAAACATCTTAAATTCAGCTCTGAAAGTCTCTTAGCCTACCGGTGGGCGAGCCTAGCTTGTCTAGAGAAGTATAACTAGAAAAATTCCTGATGTTATGTTCTTGTTGTTTGAAAAGATCTCGGATCCCTCATACTTACTTGTGACTGAAGAGTCTATAAGGAAAAGTGGGCATCTTGATCTGAGCTTCTTCCCTTATATAATATAAAGATCTAGCTTCTTAATTTCAAGGTATAATCTCAAATAAAAAAGAGGAAGCTTGACTTTTACAAGAAAGCCATAGCCAAAGCAACAACTTTCATATCATAGTCCTAATTTCCACCTACCTTTCTCGCTCTATCATTCCATTCTATCAGTATGGTAGTCGGTCTTAACAACGCTTGAAGCGTTCAAATGGGCTAAGTGTTTAGTATCACCTTAATCCATTATTTTTCTTTAGTCTTTCTTTCTGAGTAGTTGATAACGAGTCTGACGGGCCTAGCACCATCCGTCAATCACTTATTGGTGAAAAGACTATGTAGTAACCAATTCGGTTAGCATTTCAGTGTTCGTCAGGAAGACGAGTTTGCATCTTATTTGTTGTATGAAATGATCTTTTTATATTTGGTAAGACTTACATTTCATATCGTGTGTCATAGAATCAGATTATTATGATGAGCGATTTGACTCTGATCCACCATCATCCACTACCGAAGGAATGACCTCACATACTACCTGCTCTTATTCCTATCAATATGCCCGGATGTAAAGAGAAAGAAAAAATCTAAGGGAGACTATCTAGATCTATCCCTAATGTTATCATACAATGATGATCCTAAGGTTGAGTTTGAAAGAGAAATCTCTATCCATGTTAGCATGCATGGATAACAATCCTAATGTCTAACTTGCATCAGAAACTAAACAAATGAATCCTAAGGAAGCATACAAAAGTCCAAAACCTAAGAGAACATGGCATATACAAGGATGAAAAACAAACAAGCAATCAACAAGCTCAAGAGAGCACACAGGAGAAATCCTTACCTAAGTTAGCATACCAAAAACCTAAGGGAAAATATAACTATCTTATAGGAAACATGCAAAGATCAAAATCGTTATCTCAATTCTAATTGAGTGACATCATCGATCATTAACAAAGGAAAACGATAAATTCCTAAGAGAGCATGCAAAGATCGAAGTTATTATCTCAATTATAATTGAGTGACATCATCGATCGTCAAAAGATATAAGCCATGAAATCCTACGGGGAGCATACAAATATCGAAGTCGTTTTCTCAATTCTAATTGAGTGACATCATCGATCACCAACACGAGCACAAAAACAAATAACAAATAAGTGTGGAATGTATACTACAGGTATTTAAATAGAGACTTCGAGCGCACACTCTTTATTTCCTTCTTCTCATAATATCTAGAAAGCGATAAAGTGCAGAAAAAATAAACCAAGCAGTGAAATGATACCAAACTGATAAAATGTCCATTATACAGCAAGCAAGCAAAGCGAAAATACCCCGGAAAACTTCGAGCAAGCTAGCATCAATAAAATGCAATGGTCAGAAATGACTTGATCGACATAAGCAACAAAGTAATATCGTGCAATATGCATGTGCATCGAACGCAACCTCAAACTAATCGGAACACCTGCACAAAGCACATATACAGACAAAACAACAAAATATGTGTTTCTCGCATCATGAGAAACCATAAGGAAAACACGTCAAGTGCGTAAGAAAACCACGGGTGAAGTGGTGTGTCGGTTTACCAAAATTAGATAATCGATTAACTATCCTCAATGTACCTTGCACAAGTGAACAAACATGTCAAAAATAACAAGGAAGCGAAAATAAAGTTGCATATTTGCATTACAAGTCAAAACAAGGCTATAACATGAAGAAATGCAATGAAAACAAGTGTTATAACCTAAAAAAGTGAAACCGGGCAGTACTATGGTAATAATGTGAAATAAGCCGGAAAGCGTGACAGAAACAAGCAGATGCATATGCAATGATGTACATATGATCAATACAATACAAGCATAAATTCCAATATTAGGCGCATGAAAAGTCAGAACGTAATCAAGTCAAAATCACATGGTTGCATCTGAATGTGCCAACGAATTCAAAAAAGTAGGTCCCATGAATTAGTTCCAAATGGAAGTGATTGTTGGCTGAAGATTTTGATGATATTATTAGAAGCGAAGCAAATTGGACGTTTCGATTGGAATAAAGCAAGATGTCATGTTTCGAAATGGTAGAAGCAGTGCTTCGAATGGGCATATCAAAGCTTGGAGCTTCGAGTGACAATTATGAGGATATATTCAAAGAAGTCTCGAAATGTTAACAAGGCTGTATCCAAGAAATGCGTTCGAAGCGAAGAAGTGCCAAAACATTTGAAATTCAAATGCAAGCGGGATGTTCGAAATTTGAAATATATGCGCTGGAACATTTGAAGACGCGTGGAAGCTAGAGAGAGGCATTGTTCTGCATGTTCTAAACGTGGCAGAATCTTTTAGCAAGACCGATATGGTCGAAGTAGTATAAATAGAAGTCTTAGCATTAGGATTTCGTGTGTCATATCTATTGTACAAAAAACTCAGTAAACATTCAAAATACCACATGGCTAGGGAAACGAATGCACGAGCAATGTACGTATGATAACACCAAGTGTTTATGATTTAATAAAAACTCTTTATCATTTCCAGTATTTTCCTTTATCTTCATGTCAATACGATTCAAAAGCTTTTGCACCAAAATGTTTTCATTCAAAGTCTTTTTACTGATGCATTACATTTAAATGCTTTCTTTCCATTTCAAATACTTTACCTTCAGAAACGGTTGTACATTTCATGCCTTTACCTTCAAGTTTTTATCATTCGAACACCTTTTTCACTTAAAATCATTTTACTGTTTTATTGCATTTAAACGCTTTCTTCATATTTCGAATCTTTTACATTCCAGAGAATCTTTTACATTACATATTTTTATGCTTTGAAGTCATTTACTTGTCTTTTATGCAGTTTTATATGTCTTTACAATTGAACTTTATTCATGCAATTTAGTTTCGCGCACATTTACTTGATCAAGTTATTAGATCTTTAATAGAGTAATCGAAATAAGTTAAACACCTACACAACATTCCAAATACCAACCATGAATACCAGTTCTATAATGAGAGTTATCCTAATGACCAATACATCCTAAGATCAATCTAGTCGATCCTGCGAGTTACCAGAGAGATTGAATAACAGTCAGTAAGATTATTCGATAGTTTGGAGGACTAGCGGTTGTTTACCAGAAATCACTGTAAACAAATTGGCACACCCGGTGGGACCCGTCATTGGACATTACGGAGTTTGGAACAAAACAAATTGTTGAGACGTAACCATTGTAAAAATACTCTCTGAGTGATAAGTTTGTTATTTTATGAACCT